CCAACTATCTCAGATTTAATTGAACATTTTTATCTAAATATAAAATGAACAAGGAAAATGTGGGCTTTGTTTAAAGTATGCTTAAGTCCACCTGCTTGGCAGAGACTTTAAATATGTGAACTTTTAATACAAGCAAAGTGCCTATTTTCTAATGAAAGATTGCTCCTCAGTAGGCCAACTCCAAATCTTTAACCTGCTGTTAAATTTAAGAAGGTCCTCAATGGTAAGGAATATGCTTCGAAAATATTTTTTATCATTTAGCATTTAGCTGATATATGTTGAGTGATTTTTACCCTAAAGAGCCATCCATCAGGAGTAGACTTGCATCAGTGAATCACCAGAATTTATTTTCTACAACAGTACACATTTCCTAGCTGTCAGGTTTACAAGGACCTTTTGAAAGATCTTGAGGATAAGCAGTCTATGGTAATGCCATAGAGTGAAAATGATCCCTCTTTTCAGAGAACACAGTGGTGTGTTGGACAAATGTTACAAGCATATTAAAATTAGAGATGCTGGACGCCAGGGGTTCTATTAAGCATCCCCAATTTTTTTTTATTATGCAATAAAGAAAACTTATTTTAAAAATATTTTAATTAAGTAAAAAGTAGGAGTAGCCTATTTGATTCTATAAAAGGTCAGTAATCTTCTGAAAATTACATAATAAAAATTTTTTTACATATTCTCAGAATAGCACAAGACACAAAGATTTCCAGAGTTCTAAAGAAAAGGATAATTTGGATTTTTTGTAGACAATAAGGTATTGATAATTATACTTAATATTCAGAGTACACAGAGGTAATTCTAATATATATTCTTGGATAAACCAGATTTGGTTTCACTACTTTTAGATTTAACTTGGCAATCTTCCATAGGGTTTTTGGATGAACTTTCCAATGACTGCTTTAACTATAGGATGACGATGACTAAATACAAAATCAGGAAATGTAGACAAATTACCTGTATCAATTGAATGGGTGAGCCTAGTCTAACCAAGATCTCCAAGACCCAACTAAGCTGTCATCCAGATGACTGCCATATTTCATTCCAAGAATTCCTGCTTGCAACCCAAATCCTGAACAATTCACCAATTCATTATTCCATTATTAAAATGATACCCTCCCTGACCAATCTACCTCCACTAAGACCTACCAAGAACTTTGCTTTAGACTTAGATCCAGGTCCATAAACCCTCCTCCTATACTTCGGCTTGATGCCTCAAAGACCCTCTCACATATCCTTTTTTCAATCATATGCCTAAACCCAAGGTTCCTTCCATTTCCTACTAAGATTGAAGAGTTCTTTCTTCATTCAAGCAGTCCTCTAAAATAAAATCTTTTCCACAAAGGTTAACTGAAAAAATGTTTTCCTAAATTTTACACTCAAAATACAAACCTTTTATGAGCCTTCACTATTCAAAACATATTTCTCAGTATTTGCATAATACTGTCTTTGCAATTAATATATTTCTTTCCCAAACATCTACTTTTTCAATGTGTTGCCTTCGTGACAATAAAAATATAGACTATCTAGGATTGTTAGCTTGCAGAGATCTGGCACCAAACACTAACTCACACAGAACAACACAATACAATGAATGCCATGCTAGATTAAGCATAAGTGTTTAATAAATGCTTGTGCTGCTGAGCTTCTCAATTCCAGATTCTACCTTTTAATTTTGTAGTTTAAAGGTCTGATCCTTTATACCTTGAACTAGTTGACAAAAGTCATTGTAAGAAGACAGAAAATCTAGTGGTTATGAGTGGGCTCTGGAGTCAGAAAGCTTAGGATCAAATTCCAATTCCTGTTGCCTTGAACAAGTTACTTAAACTCTCTAAGCTTTGATTTTTTTGAGTATAAAATAAAGACAATCCAAAAGTATCTACCCCAGGTTATTAAGATTAAAATATATAATGTATGTAAATACCTATGTGTGCCTGGAATACAGCAGCGCTTAATGTTACTAAATTTTTAAAAAGATATTTCCTTTATAAAACTTAGCTGCAGAATGCATAGAATATTCATGCAAAAAATCTTATTTCTATACTTTCATGTCAGCACAAAAGAAACAAGTTGAAATAATCTCTAAAATAACAATGGGTATTATTCCCAGAGATCAGGTAACCATATCTCCTAGTTTGCCCAGGATAGTTCTGAATTACACCTGTTGTCTTCACTCATCCCGGAGTTCAGATGATAAAATAGATGACCTATTGTGCTGGTTATTAAGCTATTTTCTCCCCATTGCTCCAAACCACTATTCTAAACTAAACTGTTTAATACTAGAATTGGAAACTGTGTAAACTACATTTCTTCTTTACCAGTTACATTTTTGTAAGTCTCTGCTATAATAGAACTAGAAGAGTGAAACAGGAGGGCAGGAGGCAGAAAGAATCTTGCTATTTCCTATGTGCTTATTTCTGTCAGCATCCCCAGGGCAATTGATCTTCATTCCACTGAGTTCTTGGTTCCAGGCTCTGGCATTTTCTCAGCATTTCCCAAATCAGCCTCCTCTTTCCGTCAATAGCACCACCTACCAGTGCCCCAGAGTCCCTGCTGTACAAAACCTCTCCTCCAAGCTTCTAGTTTCTGTTCCCTCAGCTCTAGGAGTGGTAGCTGCTTCCTGCAGTTAACTATCTCAGTATGCCCTTCTGATTATTTGGTTTTTCAGTACCAATTTAAATTATTTCTTATATTATACTATGTTAAAATATATAGTTGTGCTCTTTTCTTCCTGTCTGAAGTTTAACTGCCACTGATACTATACAGAAAGGAATGAGAATGGGATTGGGGGCTAAAAAATAAAAAAAATAAAAATTTTTTCCCTTTACTTTATACAATGTCTTTATGTATTACTTATATAATTTAAATTCAATTACAAATTTTAAGTGATTTTTTTCCTTCTTCACACTGGCCTTCAGAACACTGTAAATAATCGTTTTTAAAAAATACATCACTAGTAAACTGAGAGAATTTACCTCCAGAGTCTAGTACCAGATGGATGGCTAACGGAGTTGAGGCCATTAGTCATTCAACTGGAGTCTACCCATCGTGGTGTTAGCTAACTGAAGGCCATTAACACTAACACAACAAAATATGAAAGTCTCCCATTAGAAGTGCTGCATGAATGTCTTGCAATACAGGATTAAATAAACCTAGAACAGACTCTATGATATATTAAGTATGTAACAAATATGTTTCTTATTTTCCCTCCATCACAACTACCTACCTCCAGATGCTAATCTAAGAACTGCTAATAGGGACATAGCTTCTTTAGAAAGTGGACTTCGTTGGGTTAAAACAAAGGTTAAGAGAAAGATCTTAGCTGACAAATCCCAAACTATCAAAGCTTACCAGGACATCAAACAGCAATGCACTAGGCAAGTTTAGCAAGAAACAGATATTTTCTTACATCAGGAAATGCTATTGCATGACAAATACAACTATAATGATAAATATGACTAATACTCACCTCCACTTTCCTCTTTTCTAAAGCAAATTCACTCCTTTCTTCTTCTTGCCACATCTACTAAAGCCAATTTTACTGGCCTTTAACTCTTCAGTTACTGATTATTAACACTGGAAGACACTTGAGCATAATTTATACCCTTCTGTAGGAGAAACTGTCCACAAACATAAACAACCAGGTGAGCACTTCCCTCAACCCACAATACGAATAGAAGAAACTGATGGTATCCCAAGAAGTATTTATATTTAGAATAAAGAAGTGATCTCTGTAAGTAACAAAAAGTAGCTTGAGTTTTTTGTTCTGATAAAGTGTTAGAAGACTAGCAAGCCTAGATTTATTTTTATGTGTGCTTTATTCTTCACTTTCTTTAAAATTCTTCAATTTCCTAGAAATCAACACATTTTGTGATCCAGACATAGAAGGCATTTCATCAGTAAGACTAATAAAAACTTTTAAATTTCTAAGTCTATTTGTTGCCTTGGATATTGTACTACTATAAACATTGATTTTTAATTCACATTTAAATTTTAATATGAACAATTAACGTGCTTTCTAGATAACTGTTGAAATGTCACCAGTGTTATGTTACTTCCTACTGATTTTTTTGTTAAATTTCTAATTGATAACTCTCTATGTTACACTTCTAGGAGGTTCACAACTTTTAAAGTGTCTCATATTATTACTGTACTTTACATTTAAAACAAGAAATCTAAGGAAAGATCACTGGAATAAACAACTTTCCTCCTGGAGAGTCCATACTGGATTATTAGTGAAATATCAGCATAGTTATCATTTCCCTAGGAGCTATTTCCCATAACCACTTGTTTCCCTCTAACATAAACTATTACAGGCAGAAGAGCCCACCAATACCTGCAGAGTCTGTCTCTACTATTTCCTGGAAAATCAGAATGTTCCTTTATACAGGTAAAACATAGCCTGAAATGATTTCTGTGGCTTACAGTTTTCTATTTGCATCACTGTGACCTTTAATTGAATGATAATTACCTTAAGTCAAAACTTCAAAATTTAAATCTTTCACTTTATCAAGAAGTTAGATGATTCAATTAGTTCAAGAAAAAAATATCCATATTTGTCATAACTTACATTAAGACACCAAAAGTGTTATAGAACATAATACCCTAGAATAAATGGATCTATATGCACAAAACTTTCCTCCTCCAAACTGACAGGCATTACTCTGAAGGAATTATGCTTATACAGGGTGTCCTCCCAAAAATGTATACATACTTTGACAGCTAATAGTTCAAGTGATGTTATTTTCTTTTCAGATTTAACCCACTGGAATCAATAATTATTCAAAGTGTGTATACATTTTTGGGGACACCCTGTATTGAGTCATCTTCTTGTATGTAAACATAAAATGTTAAACTTGTGGAAAAATGTGCCATTCTATTGCTATTTGTATTTCTATTTTGTTTCCGAAACCAGTAGTATAAAGAGAAAAGATTTAAAGAAATATACTATTGAGAGTTAATAAATATTTGGAATCAAAACAGAAAATTTACAAAACTTTAAAATACTAATAAAATAAGCATTTTATTAATGAAAGTCTGAAAAACGTGCACCAAAACAAAAGTGACTAATGCTGAATTTAAAACCTTCAAATAATGTGTACCACATGATTCAATTTCTTAAACTTTATATATATATAAAGTTATATTATAATTACAAAGCTATGAACTATTAGAGTGCTAACAATACTTTTTATACGAAGAAACTTAACAGTAGTAAAATATGAATACATAAGATGCTTATTTTTGGTCCATTTGGGGGGGAAACACACACAAAAAAACTAAGTTGGGGTGTGCTTTTTTACATGCCTTGGAGCACAAAAATAGAATTTAAGATGATAACTGCAACATTCTTAGTGTTTTCCTTGTAATTCTTTAAATGTCACCAGTCATAATAGCAATGAACTCCTCTTGATTTACTGTGGTAAAAAAGAAAATGTAAGTCAGAAATACAAATTTTTTCAAAGAACAATACTACTATTTGACAGTAAGTATCTATAAATGTTATACAAATTCTTAATAAACAAAAAAATAGTATTTGCTTTTACTTCTTTGCTAAGAAGTTGAACATGTTTATTAAACAGAGCTGCATGAATGCAAAACATAAAATGTGATAAAAAAGATACATTATGTAAGTTAAAAAAAAGCCCATCATAATCATATTTGTTTACATTTGCAAAGATAGTTTTTAAAGCTTGAAATTTTTAATTTCTTAGATGGTTAAAGCCTACCTATAATCTTTATTCTACTACTGCATTTAGCAAACCCTTCCTTTATAAGTTAAATATATCAACCATATAAATTAGAATTCTAAAAGATGAAAATATATAAGCATTAGAAAAACAGTCAAATTGGTGGGGGTTTTTAACTTTAATATATTTAAAAGCCTATTTTAAAGAAAAACTCATTGAAACCAGGTCACCATATATCAAAAGTATCCAGAGAAATTATAATTTTGAAATATACAGATTTAATCTTAATTACAAAGATAATACTATAAAATATAGATGTAAAGACAGGAAATGATCACCGAGAAGACTGTTATTTTACCAAAATTATAAATAAAATTCAGTAAGAATCTCCAGCTTATAAAGCATAATGTTTAAGAAAGCAACCTAGAAACAACAGGTCATAATGGGTAATATTAATGTGATTTTATTAAATATAAATTTTAAAAAATACACACACACATGAATTATTAATAGAAATGTTCACTGTACTAGTCTAATATTTTTCCCCTGTGTAAGAAGATTGATAATAAAGAGTAAGAAAAAATTAATTTAAAAAGTTAGGAGATAAAATATGTATATCAGGAATAAAAAAGGATACCACAGATAAAAAAGGTTTCAGAAACCACACAGAAAACCAATTTCAATAATCACGTTAGTCACATTTTATACCTGAAACACAGAACTGCTGTATAACACAAATCATGATTATTAAAATAAAACTACAAATTCATCATAATGGAAAAATCATTATTGATGAGAAAAATTTAGGTAAAAATAAATCTTGACTTGGGCTCCAAAATAAAAACATAGGATTTGGTTTGACAGGTGGAAAGAAAGCTAAGGTAGGAGAACACCATCAGAAACATAGCTGAAGACAGAAAATAGTGCAAAAATAAGCTATCAAGGAGTTAAAAAGAATGAGCTCTCCAAAAGGTGAATAAGAACCATGAATCCATTCATTCAGTATTAATCATTTACAAGATATGATGACAGATATAGAACAGAATACAAAACCTATAACACTCAAAATACTTCCAACAATCTTACAAGTTATAGTAGTGATCATTAACCTTTGCAGCTAAATGAACACATTTCGATGTTTTATGAAAGCTTTGATCCCTCTCTCCTCAGTTAAAAAATAAAATAAAATAAAATATAAAAATTTTAAACAATTGTTATACACCTTCATTTAAGAATCCTGATTCAGTCAATCTAGACTGAAGCATGTAGACCAAAACATGAAATAAGAGAATGTTTTTAAGAAAAAACATAATGAAAGCAGCCTTAGAATGATTTGATTATAAATCATTTTAACAGCATAATATAGCTATGATTAAAATATTCAAAGAGTACTTATGTTTTGTTAAAGGTCTAGAACAAGTCTCTCAAATGTAAAGTATTACATTTGAAATGTAAAGAATTTCAAATTAAACTTCACATTATTCTAAATCCACAAACACTGAATTTTTATGATTTACGTATAAACACCTTACAGTATTGTAGCATTTCAAAAGCATTTTAATCTATTCCATAATTTCATACCTAAAAACAGAACACTTAAAAACAAAATAGTAAAAAACTGAAGGGAAGTGGTTAAGGAAATTAAACTACTTCTTTATTACCAATAACCATTCAGACAATTAAGAGAATCTGTGATGACTTTGTACATTTGGTTTTATGATCTTCTCTATCAACAATATCTTATATCAAGTTCCTATATCTAATAAATCTAGCATAATACCCACCTTAAAATAGGCATTTGATAAAATATTTACTGAATCAAACAATATGATACTTTTTTCTTCTACACTGCTTTTTACACAAAATTTTCATATATCAATCATTTCACAGGGTAAATCATATCATATGTCATTAAAATAAAGAAATTTAGAGAAATTAAGTAGATTAAGTACCTTAGAGACCATCTGGCTTTGGAGGGGCAAAAAACAAATTTTAGCATCTGAAGTGCCAACTGAATATTTTACTGATTCATTGCTTTCCTATAATAGTATGCAATTTGTAAAACTCCGTAAACATAGATACCTAATTAATATTTAACTTTATAGCACAAGAGGCAATACAGTGTTATAGTAAAAAGTACGTTCTTTGTCATTATAGTGATCTGAGTTTGAGTTCTGGCTCTGCCATGTATTAGCTTTGTGATAATGTTGGAAAGGCCATTATTAATCTCTCAGAGCTTTAGTTTCCTTATCTATACCTGAATCTATACTACACATGAATAGGTATAGCATTTTATTTACTTTATAAAAGCTATTATGAAAATTAAGTGATATAATCTATAATATAACATGCTAAGCACAGAATCTAACATATATTAACTGCTAAATACATGTTAACACTCATCACAATTATTTACAGAATGGTCTACTTTGGCTTTTTATATGTTGCTTCCATTTTTCAAAAAAACTTTACTGTGTTTTACTTTACATATGTTGGGAGAGATGGTGGAGAAGGGATTCTTTCTATATCATTACCACAGTTTTATTTATATTTCATATTATAGCTTTATTTCCTTGAACTCCTCACTCATAATGTTTATTATTCTAATATACACCAAAAAAAAAATGTCGTTTTTATAAAAACATTTTCATTGCTCTTAAATACTGAAAAGTGTAAAAAATTCATAAAGACAAAAGAATTACTAAAGTCCACAAAAAAGGCAGCAAAGTAGTATGAGCTTTATCAGGTAACATATACAAAGAAAGTAGGTTATATCTAAAGAGATTACAGCCAAAGAATCCAAATTAAGTAATCAGATTAACAAGATATTATAAGATATAACTTCCTACTTCTTCAAAAATGAACAGATTTCATATAGAGCTGCAGACACACATATAAATTAGGAGTGTCCCAAAGCCAGACTAAATGGATTAGAGTTGTAATTATAATTGTTTCTGAATGTGAATATGCCTTTCAACAATAATTTTCTGAACTTACCACAATAACTACTACAGGGTGGGGCAAAAGTAGGTTTACAGTTGTGTAAACACAAAACAGAGTTTATTCTTGTATTATTATTTATTGTTGTATTATTTTCCTTACAAATAACTGTAAACCAACTTTTGCCCCAACCTGTATACTTAGTATGTGTTGTTCGAAAAATAAGTAATGTCAAATAGCTACTATGAATTCTACAAAGTCATTATATTTATCACTCACAAGAGTATTTACAGATATAAATGAAAAATAACAGTATATGCATGCATGTGCAATACTGTCATTCATATGATCTACAGACAATATTAGATGCAAACATGAATTCCCAGACTCCGTGCAATACCTAAAATGGCCCCCCACCCATTGAGACCCACATCCCAGATTAGAAACTAATGGATTAGACTATTTTAATATGATAAGACTACCCTTTTCCCCCAGAAACAAATCTTAATAATAAAAGACTACGCATCAGCTGTATTTTATTTGTAACCAAATACTTGGAAAAAAAGAGAGAAAAAATGTTATTTGCCTGTTAAGTCATTTGAATAAATGACAGTAGGATACCCAAGCAACAGATGTACAGTGACAAAGTGGAGTAATGCAAGCAGAGAGGACTGAAGAAATGTTTTAAGAATACACTAAAATAAATCTTCAAGCAATGAAGTACAGATGTGCAATGTGAGATTCAAAAGCAACAGACAGAGCAATATAACAAGGGATGAATAAATGGACACATTTTCTAAGCAAAGTTTCACATCAAGTTTCAATTTAAGAGACAGCTTCCTAATTGATATTTTCTTCTAATGTCAAATGAAGCTAATAACTGAAATTTGATTGCATGTGCTTCATACAGTATAACAAAATATTTTATAACTGATATTATTAAAGCATGCCAGTGTTGCCAAGAATATCTATATATATATACGTATAGTGGGTACTATATCAACATGTATCTACTGTAACACACACTCCAGCTCAGGACATTAAGTCAACAAATATTAAAGCACTCATTATGTTCAAGAAAATGCAGGAGAACATAAGATGAGTAAAGACAAAAAAGAAAGGAAAACAAGCTTACACTTAATGCTAGGCACCATTAATTATCTTCATTTAATACCCACAGCAACCCTGTAAGGTATTACCATTCTCATTTTTATAAATGGGAATACTGAGACTCAGAAAATGTTGAAAACTTGCACAAAATTACAAAGCAACTAAGTAAATGGTAGAGATTCAATTCGAATGCAGGTCTGTATGATTCTAAAACCTCAGGCCTTTCACACTGTATGATTCCATACTGCTCTTAAGGGGCTTACAACATAACTGGAGATATATACATGTATATAACTAACAGAAGGCAGTGTACAAAGTGTCAAAATAGTTTATTCCTCTAAATGCTATGGGCCCCCAAAAAAGTCTCATAATTCATACAAACAGAGACCCAATGTTGGGAGAGGATTTTGAGAGAGAAAAACGGAGTTTAAAATGTACCAGAGAGAACAACTAACATTTTAGCAGACAGAAATTAGCAATTAGAATATTCTAGGATTAAGGAATAGCAGGATAAAAGGCACAGCATAAAAAAGTGGTTTCAAGACAGAATGTATTTTGTCAAAGTGTATGTATGGGAGGTGAGGGTTGAAGTAAAGAAATGAAAGACTATAGTGGAAAATAAAACTAGATACTTAAAGTAAGACAGATCATAGTAGGCTTTGAATTTTATTCTGTAGGCACTAAGGAATCAATCTAAGTGTTCGAATAAGGAAATATCATCAAATCTGTAAGGAAAACAATGCTATCAACCGACTGAATAAGGAAGAGAGTAGAGGCTTATAGGCATGTAGGGCAATTAGGAGGCTACAAGAGACTACAAAGTCAGTAAGGGCAGGGACCACATCTGCCGTTTTCATGTGTAGCACCAATAAGCACATACAGCACTGTACCCAGCCGGCATCCAAGAAAATAATAAGGCTATGATAAAAAATTACAAAAAAATTAGGGCCTGAACTAGCACACCAGCAGTAAACAAATAAAGCAGAGCCAAAACATTTGAAGGGCAGAATCAATGGAACTTAGTACAGTTTAGAAGTGCACAGAGGTTGAGGAAGAAGGCATTAAAGGCTGAAATTTTACTATGTGGCTGAAATTTTGTGATATTTCACCCCCCAAAAAAGTAAATACCTTTTTGAAGTGTGGAACCTCATATTACAATCTGTATAGTTGGTTTCAAAGGTCTGCTTCATTCTAAATCGAATTTGTAAAATATTTATGCAAAAGCCCATTACAGGATGAACAAAAATTACAATAGAGATAGTTTGCAAAGGGTCTTGAAATCATTTGGTTTTAGAAAAACTTATTAGATGTATATATCAGGAATACTTAGAATATGTTTTACTCAAACTTACTTTCTCCATCACCATCTTTATCGAATTCTTCTATCATAGCCCGAAGTTCTTCATCACTCATGTTTTCACCCAATTCTCTGGCAACACGTCGCAAATTCCTCAAGCTTATTTTACCTGAATCATCATCATCAAACAGTTTAAATGCCTTCAATATTTCTTCATGTGGATCTCTTTCCAATATCCAATCTGTCACTAGAGTTTTAAAAAAAAAGAAGACAAAAAATAAACCTTTATAATCACAAAGGCATTCATTTGTGAAATCAACGAAGTACTAGATGAGAAGTAAAGCTGTGAATCTGTCAACACTGAGCTTGATAATAAAATGCCAAATTAGAGCCCAAAAAGCCAAAGAGATAAATCTGAAATTAGAAAAATTAAATCCATATTTTAAAATTTAATCTTTATAATATCAATAATTTATCCTATTATAAGAATAAGCAAAACTTATATTGTACAGAGGCAAAATAAAAATAACTATATTTATACCCATATTAGTATATGTAAGGTATACTATTATCAAGAACTGTTCTAGGCTCCACTGACATCAAGCACATTAGGAGTTTGTAATCTAGCTGGAGGGATGTTATACCAACAAAACAATTAAAACTATCTAGATAAAAGATGTTTGCTGGCTAAACTTAATAGTAACACTAATTGTTCCTCAAATTTAATCCAACTTAAAAACAAACAAACAAACAAGGCCCTGACAAATTAATAAAATGCACTGGCATCATTGATATAGACACAATTGCAGACAGTAGATGAAAATCTCACTGATACCTTCATGATTAGAAGAATCTACTGGTTCTCCAAAATATGAGAACTGGTTATGAAAAGAATTAAATCTAATTGCAGTAACACAGCCAGGGGGGGGAAAAGTCTGGAAAGGAGATTTCATGCATTTTGTTCAGCAAAATAATAACTTCTGACAAGTAATTAAAATTAAGTGAGTAATTTCAGACCTCAATAGCTGAGAGTAGCAATGCATTATAATATACTAAATGTAATAATATATAATAATAAAGTTAATACTTTCAATATTACTAGTCTTAATAGCCACAATTAAAAAAATTGAAGTAAAAATCTGTGTTATATAGGTAAAAAATCTGAAAATATCTAAGTAAACATCTCTGAAATAATTCTGCAAACTAGTCTATCACTATAACAAAAGGTATTTATGACTTTCACTGTGCCATTAAAAATGAACCAATCCTACTGGTTTATGAAATCATTAAAAACCTGCAAATGCTTATAGATGGAAAGTACAGGAATGTTTGATGCACCCAAAAGGAAAAATTCAAGTCCCCAATATTTTATTATTGTTTTGCTGCTATTTCATATTTGAATAAGCTTCAGAATAGGCACCTATTCAAGATGTTAAATCATCTACACATACATTCAATAGTTTTCTTTTCTCCTATCCATTAATTTTATCCAAAAAGTCTTCCAAGTAACTAATTGAAGTATATTATTATAAGTATGCAAATCATCAAAGCTCATAAATATTCAGTCAAAAAGGAGTTGGCATATATACAGCCATAACACCAAAATAAAATACCACACTTAACTCCATGGCTCATACTCAACTTATTTTGAATTTAGTCCCAACAAAAAAGCAGGACAAGGAAAAAAAAGTGTTAAGAAATTTTTTTCACCAATTAAATAATTTATATGACAGGTGAACCAAAAAAGCAGCTTGCTGAAAGTATTAATGTACTTAAAGAAGCAACAGGGTGATCTGGGGAACAGATGGGGCTCCAAGATACATAAATTCTTATTCCACTGGTACTTTAATTGTGTTAGTTACTTCAGACTTATGTGTACATTTAATCTTTTATCAATACTTTGCCTTAGAATGCAACTTTTCTTGGGAACTATAAATACTCATCATTCTGGACAGCTAAAACATTAAACTTTATGGTGACTCTCCTCTGTGCTTTCATGTTCTATTCCTGTCATACAAAATAGAATTTAATTAGAAGAAATACATTTTCTTTCGATGAAAATAAGTCGACTGACATGCAGGCAGTTAAGGTGGGTTCAATCTATTTCACAACTTCCTGCCCATGTAGCTCTATTTTCAAATAATTTAATTATACTATCAAAAATGTAGTTCCTCAAAATAGTTACACCTTACACTTTCTCAAAATCACTTATGAATAGAGCAAATAAAAAACATCACATTAAAAGTTTATCAAAAATCATTAAAGGTAATGCTAGAAATATAGCTTCAACTATATATCTCACTACCTTTTGGAAGGCTCTATGCAAACATACCAGTTACTATAAACAACATTTTGGAGTCCACACTCCTCTCACCAGCACCAAGATAGTTGTCAATGCCCCACTCCAAAAAAGATGAGAGCATTGTTAACAGATAGTTCCCCATATTTGAAAGGCTGAACATTTTCAATCCCATAAACCTAATCAGTAATTAGATCCTATAGTTCTGAGGATGTTACCTTTTTTACTCTTAAATATATCCCTTTTCATCCTTGCCACCTTCAGCACAAAACATATTACTTTCTGCCTGCAGTCTGTCTTCCCTCCAACTCATCTTTAATACTCTAAACAGAATTATCTTTCTAAAAACATCATCTACTCTTCTTTAAAAACTGACAATGATCCTCTGCTGACTAAAGTCCAAAAACTCTACGTGTTATGCAAGACTTTACCTCCCTGGCCCAATCTTACCTTTTTAGTCATTTCCCCATCCTCTAGAGCAGGGAAGTACCTAAAGTTTCCCAAACATGCTTTATTTCTGGTACCACTCTTTGTTTTCTCTGCCTAATGCCTTCCTCTACTCCATCCACAATAGTCTTCTTGGGATGATATCCTTACATTCCCAGCAGCCTAAATTAAAAATCCCCTCTGCAAAGTCATCAATCGCTCTGATCAGAAATTGACAAATCTTTCCTGTTAAAGACCAGACAGCAAATATTTTAGGCTTTTTTCTTTTTTGGTGGGGGAGAGGTGGATAAGGTCTGTCTAAACTACTCACTCTGCCATGGTGGCACAAAAGCAGTAAACAATGGATGAGGCAGTGTATAGCAGCAGCTGAATTTAGCCCAAGGGCTGTATAGTTTGCCCTAGACAAAATTATAATTATAGCTCGTGGTCACCTACATTTAAATTGTAAGTTCCTTGAAAGAAGAATCTCCTAATAACTTTTAACTCCCTCCCTCACACCAGCACAGTACCTAATGCCAAAAAATAATAATAAATTATCAACTATCTATTAAATAAGCAAAACAAAAACAATATTCTATTATACATAGCCAGTGAAATAATAAGTAGTATGTACCAAAAAACAGATGGAGTACGAACATCTGCCTTATCTTGGTCTTACTTTGAAGCAGCAATTCCTGAAACACCTATGTTACTCACTAGCCTCAGGCTGTCTAGATTCTAAACTTATCAAATATATTCTAATACTTTTTCCTAGCACTGGGAAGAATCCAGTTAAGTGTCAGACTTCATCCAGAAATACTGTAGATCAGTATCCTTAGACAACTAATAGATGGTACATAAAACTAAAAATCAAATGTTCTGATTTGGAATTTCTTATCCCTTCAAAGGATAAAACATATATTCATCTGTGGTCAGTTATTCTTCAAAAATAATAAACAGGGAGAATACATAGTTCTTGACTGTTTGATTCCCAAACAGTAATAAATGTTTATTTGACAGTTGGTATTCTCAATAGGTAGCCTTAGGATAGCTAAAGTACGTGCTCAGCCAGCCAAAAGGTTGATCTTTGAAAGTCAGAGATGAAGTTTAGCCATGGCCTTTTATTCTAGAAGGAATCCAGTATTTCTGCCCTACTAGTAACATACAAAAGATGGAGGGTCAGGAAAAGGTGGAGATGGCATGGGTCTCTGACTACAGTGACTAATAAAATCACATTTAAAAGTTATATTCACTTTAGATGAAATAATATGCTTAGTAAAATTATGAATGACAATGATACAGTACTTAAAATGGCCTACAAATATGAAAAAAATAAAAATATAAATATATGGAGACTTTTTATGTTCCAGTGATGCAATATGATTACTTCCAGCCATTAAAACAAATAAAACAAAAACTATTTTTAAAGTAATAACAACAAATACTTAATAGTACTTACTATATGCTAGGCCCTTTCCTAAGGACTTTACATACTAATGTATTTATTCCTCATAAGAACCCTATGAGGTAATACAACTATCCCCATTTTACAGTTGAAAACGAGGCACAGTCAAGTAAAACAACCAAGTAACACAGCTAGTAAGTGGCAAAACCAAAACCTGAAGCCAGGCAATCTGGTTGCAAACTGTCCATGTGAAACCACTACACTGTACCAAATGTACCTGAATTATAGCTCTTTCCTAATAGTAGCATTTCCACTATATCTTAACGCCTTGTTTCTATAAATAAACAATCTTAGACTAAAATCATAAAATCCAGCAGAGCTTCAATATTGGGAGAATAGAGATGGCTCCATCCTTCCTCTCAAGTAAATTCTACAAGTCAGAGGGGGAAAAAGAAATATGCTCCCCAACAGGACAAGATGCCTCTCTAAACAATCATCTGTTAGTTCATACGTTGAGGATCTTCTGTGCTGTTTTTTTTTTCTCGCTTAGGTTTACCCTTTAACTTTTCTCTTCTTCACTTTTGGTTCAAATTTTCAGATTAAAAAAAAAATTAGATAATGATATGAATCTGTTTTTTCCAAATGTACTAACTGCCATTTCTTTTTTATTCTCATATTGTTTCTTGCTGGATATTTAAAATAAAGGGTTTGTGTGTGAGCATAATTGAATTTGTTCCTAAATTTTAAAAATATCTAAAAATAACTATATGATATGCTTATGTTATAACCCATATAAAGTGGTGCCATTGGTGTAGAAAAATAATAAAATCAAACCTGAATATGTGTACATTCTATGTATAAAACTCTAGGAAATATAAGTTATATTAGAATATATATATCTGAATATATGCAGAAGGGAGAATTCGTATATATGCTATAAATAACTCACTAAAATCAATATATAATAGTTTAACCATATTAAGCCCATGACACATTATCTTCATTTGATTGTTCAAAATGTTTTCTCCTGCTTTTAGTCTGCCAACTGCCTCCCTTACTACAATCCTCTCCCCACTGGCAGCTTTAAACAGAGGACTTTATTTACCAAGATCAAGGTCATCAAGAACGTGTGGCCCCTCATAAGCTTTGTCTAACAGAAGGCATGTACTTTACAGCCAAAGATACCAGCTGCTACAGGTTTCTTCTTCTCCCACGTTGCCAACAAAAATCACATACCGAATGGTCTTGGGAAATATTTTCCAAACAAGAGAATACCAAATTTTCTGTTTTACTGTGAGAAAATAATTTTTTGATCACCCTTTTAGTTTTGTCAGAAACATTTGGAAAGACATTTTTCCATAAAATAACTACAGAGAATCTTGGTTAGAATCTTCAGAACAAAACAAAAGACAAAATGAGAAATCCCACAGCAAAGCTATAAATCTTTTTTCTTTGAAAATCAACATAAAGAGTACCCTCCAAAAACTACGTAAGATCCACATATACAGCAATGTTCATTAACAAAATTCTATAACCGAGAATTAAAAAAAAATACTGATATTAACCAGATAATTTCCTAACAAATGCTAATTACAAAAACTATTAAAATACACACCAACTTCATTAAAATCTTCAAAGGTGATTTTCCCTGTGGCTTCTCTGTCATAATCTTTAAGAATCTTCAGTACCTCAGCTTTTTTTACGTCAAACCCCAAGGCTCTCATTGCCACCTTTTGGATTAAAAGGGAAAAGCAAATTATAAAGCATTCTTTAAAAAAAAAGTGATTTCAGGTTCTTAAATAAATTTTTACAACTTAAGAGATGATGACACATGAATAAAATATACAATTCTTTTGCATGTTTTATGTCTCTAAAATAGCAAAGGGATAGTTTTTCCTCACTATTGAAATTAAATGGCAATTTGTTAATTTATATATCCTTTTTTATATGACAAACAAATCAGAGTATATATGTAGTATTCTATACAACACACTGACATAGTACACAGATGTAACAAGTTACTTGTTCTCAAAGGATTAACCACTAAAATGGAAAAAAGGCATAGCATAAATATTAAAAAGTTATACACTATAAGAGATTAAAACACACTGAAATAAGAATTATCATCTGACTCTACATGATTAGTTATCAGGTAGTACATGACCCTGAGTTTAGAGAAAGAAGATCTTGTTACTTTATAAAGGAGAGACATGCTATTGGCAAAAGAAGTCTTACTTGAGAGATTCAAGTTGTTCCTTGATGTATGGAAAAAGTGGAACAGAAGGGTATTTAGAAAAGAATGACTGGTATTAAGAAACCAAAATAAAGAATAAACTTGAGAATAGTGAATAGAGCAGCTTACCTTATCTGAATGGGAAGAGCTCAGATGGAAAAGGAGTTAGCAAATGAGAAACGTAGGTGGTAGTAAAAGTGTGGAGAACATTCAATAAAAATCAAAGGAATCTGAACTTTATGCAGTGTACAATAAGGAGCCACCAAAGGCTTATAAGCATTGAACAATATGGGAGAAGGATTTTAGAAAGATGAAAGTACAGGGCAAACTAGAAATGAAGAAACCATTTAGGAAGCACCAGATATGAAATAAGATCCCAAACCATGATAATAACAATGGCAACCAATGAAAGAGACATTATAAAGGAAAAACAGATAAAAGCTAGGTAACTAAAACAAACAAACAAACAAACAATAAAAAAGTGGAAAAGAGAGCCAAAGAGCTACAAAAAAGCTACCTTTCTCGTTGTGTTGAGTGTCAGATCCATACTACCCTAAACACCAATCTTGTATCTTCATAAATAATTCCAGGACTTAAAGTTGATATTCCCCCCCATTAGTAGTGTGTCAATATCAACACATCAATTACATTGTTTGCACCAGTGAAATAAGTTGAGACTGTGTTTACGAATATGTCCAAATTAAAAGATAAATAGCATTCCCCCATTTGAAAAACAGAATGAATCACCAAAGATTATAGTAAGAACTGTTTAAATTCTGTAGTTTGAAGAACTTTAATTACGTAAATGAAAAATAAGCCCCTCCATAGGAATGTATTTTTACATTTAAAATACAATTCATTTTACCATGTGAAAAGGAGTTTCTAAAAAGAAAATTTAGTACTATTCAATTTTATTATAGCACTTTACTGTTAGTGTTTAAAATGATTTCTTATTTCTAAAACCAGTTTAGTTAAAATATTTAGAAATGTATTCTTAGCCAACTGTCAAAAATGCAAATCATTTTCACAGAAAAAATATACTATGTTTTAAAATACACTATTACCTTTAATTCATGATAATCTATTGCTTCATCTTTGTCTGTGTCAAATAGTTCAAAAGCATCTTTAATTTCTTGTTTCTGTTCTTCAGAGAGTTCTCTTCTTTTTTTCCTCTTTGTTTTGTCTACAAGTTCATTTCTACAAAATGAAAACAGTCTATTTAGTCTACTTAAATCCTAGTCTCCTATGCCTCATTGCATAGTTTAAGCTCCTATAAATTTCTACTTTCCTAAACTGAGAAGTGTTACAGGTTATTAAAAAAAAAGAAAAATGAGGACCTAACTTTCCTTCCTCCTAGCTTTGTATTTATTCCCACTAATATTACTGTGGGAGAAGCAAGAACGGTGAATAAGAAACATTACTTTACGTCAGAAACCCCAACAAAAAACAAAGCATCCATACTATTCTACAATAAAAAATGTTTTTTAAAAAGAAAGTTAAATTCATAATTGACTCTTACTATATACTTGGTTTGCTTTTGACAGTTTTATAACTAAGTTATCAAAATTACTATTAAAAATCAATTTATCAATTAACTTACAAAGTACTTTGGCATTGTAGATTAGAAATGTTTTTGGATTACATATTTCCAACAGTTTGAAACTTCATAATTCCTTCCATTGGTATTAAGAAATCAGCCAAAATACTGAGTCCAAACATATCATGATTATTAAACGCTTAAAATATTCCTAATATTTGTGCTAGTTCTATACAATTGCGTGAAGTCAATGGTCTTATAAATCTCTTAACATGTAAATTTAAATTTAATTTCTCATAAACTCTGAAAAAACTTTTTTTTAAAAAGGAAATTTATTTTAAAAGCTAAAAATATCTTCCTTAAGAGATGTTGATCCAAATGTTCCAAATTTTCAAATGGGGCTGCAACGCTTGTATAAATTTTGAAACAGAAAATTTTATGAAACTTTAAAATGTCAAATCCAGTTGATTTCATTAGAATATGTTATCTATTTGCACTTAAAAGTTATTCTGTTCTCTAAAAATCTACAAAAAAACGGGGGCGGGGTGGGGGGCAAGAGTTGGCTACCAAGTGACCAGATGAAGCTGAGAAGACAGAAAAACTTTCACACGCGACTTAACTAGAGCCTGTCCATTCCCAGGTCATCCTCTTCCCCTGGTTCCGAATGGCCAAACCCAAAACCGAACAAACTGACCCCATCCAACGGTACCACGAACATCCCTAAGCAGAAACCAGCACCTTTTCAAAAGTGGTGTAACTATATGGTTATTTTTAAAGTAAAACATCTAGATGAGGGTGGGGGAGAGAGCAACAGAAGATTAGAGGTCGAACTGAATGTGAGGTAAAGAAACTCAAGAAATTTAGGTAATTTGGGTCTCCAGGTATACTGTACAGAGAGCCCCGGCTGATGATGGGCAAACAGGAGCTTCGTGTTATTTCCAAAATTTACAGTAAGTATGGCATGAGCAGCGCAGCTGAGGTGGGGGCGTACACCAGGAAGGAGGGAATGAATGGATGATGGATGGATGCTCCAGGGCCTGATTTCTCGCAGAAACACCGCGAGAAAAACCTCGCGCTATCTCACAGCCTCCTTGCAAATAATACAGCCCATCTTTTTGGCGGTTCAAAGCCCAACGCGTTGACAGGTATGACAACCTCAGCAGAAGTGCACGGGACTCGTCACCTGCGACACACCTGAGCCCCCGAGGTGAGGGCTCCGGGCCTGGGGGGGGG